TGATCTGCCACTTCTCATGGTCATTCCTAGAAGGGCTACAAAAGGGCCAGCATCTTGATACCTTCGTGAGTGCCAGGATGTTTTAATGTTTTAAGATGTGGGAATTGACAGTGCCCTCCCATCTCCTACACGTGAATAAATTAAGTCCAGTGTAGCTTCTAAAACGGACCAAGGAAAGTTACCTAATGTTATTTTAAGGGAACTAAATAAACCATAAGGAATCATTCCTTCTTTCTAGGAGACCCCTTAATGGATGGGGATTCTCATAATATGCTATACTGTCTATTTTCCTCCCCCCACCCTGCATTAAACGAAAGACAGAGGGAAATAACAATTCCTTTGTGACTAATCCAATTCACACAGAGAGCACAATCCCTCGCTGGGTTTATTCTTAACTAGTATATCAGTGCTCTGCATGGCATAGGGATAGATCAAACCACGCCGAGAACTAATGTCTTCTTTTCCTTCACAGTCCATAGAACAGAAGCACTAAAGTTAATGAAATAAAATAAAATAGGCTGATCTTTGACGGATTCCCACACTCCTTTAAAAAATAAAGTACATATCGAATCTATTCTATCATCAAAGGCCAGGAAATGCTTCCTTGAGCCTGTTCGGAAGCCAAGGACATCCTTTCCATTTCTTCTTCTCTCAAACCTTCTATCAAACAAACTGCCCTGAGCTGATTTGATCTGCACAACAATCCCGTGAGGTGGTACAGGGTGAGAAAGAGTTGAATGGCCCAAGGTCACTGACTCACTAGCAGATCCAAAAGAGAATCAGACCATCGGTCTTTCCAGTGTTGTGCCTTCCAGTCATGTGGACTTCATTTCCCATCATCCTCAGTGAGTTAGTGAAATTCTCATGGATGGAGTGTGTTCCTGCACTTCTGTAGGGATGAATTGGCCAAAGGCTGAAGAATGTTCTATTCTTCATTGCGTCGTCCTCTCTCCAATCATCTGCAACCTCCCTGGCCTTCCACCTTTCTATTCAGTCTCAAGGAGAGACCATAGGAAGGGAGTCATCCCAAGGTTTTTTCTTTTTCTTTTTTTCAGATGAGGAAGAGTAGGCAGCCAAGGAGGACAGAGAGGGATAGAATGATGGGGAATGGTTAATCCTCTTTCCAGCCATCTGCAGCCTCCTTGGCTTCCCACCCTTCCCTTCAACCCCAAGAGGAGATATGAGGAGGAAACTCCTCCTGGGGGCTTTTGCAGATGAGGAAGTAGGAGCTGCAGAGGGATATAGAGATGGGCAACAGAGAACCCTTTCTCCAGCCAACTGCAGCCTCCCTGGCTTCTCCCGTTCCCATTGTGTCCCAAGGGGAAACCTCAGGAGGGAGATCCTCCCAAGGGGGAGGATTGTGTAATGGGATGTGGGAATGACTTTGGGAGACAGGAGGAAGAGCTGCAGACTAGGCAATGGTCCTAGAAGAGGCAGCTTAGCCCGCAGAAAGAATGGGGATGGAGCAAATGTCTCAGAAGGGACCCTCCCTAGTTTCTTGGACTGTAAAGTGAGTGGTGTGAGATATAGTTTCAGACTTGCAAGATTCTGTTAATGTACTTCTACAGTAAAGATAGAGCGAGTACTACATTCTAGATGATTCTTGTCTGGAAGGCTGCAAGATAGGGAAGGTGGGGCAGCCGTGGAGGCTGCTGAGTGAAGGAAAGGTATGTTGCAGAAATGAATCATACTGATAGTAGTCCTCCATCACAACAGTCAACAACAAAGCAAGCTGGAAAACATCCCCAGGAGAAACTCAAAAGAACATCTCAAGTATCTTGAGAGCAAGGTAGAAAAACAGAAATCTTGATCTCCAGGCAAAATATGACTGTGAAACTGGGGGGGGGGGGGGACTAGATGTCAGCCCTTTATATTATTGTCCTCATTGTGATTTCAGAACTGGAAGAAAGACAGAGCAGCAGACTTTCATGCAGTCAAGCCATCCACCCTTCCAACCTTAACGTTCTTAAGAAGCTCCTCAATTCCATTTACTGTAGTGCCCATGATGGCCCACCATGACTACTTTGGGGAACCCCATCAACTAGGGAAAAGTTTTCATACTAGCTCAGCCATGCTCAAGAGAGACGTTACTCCATTATTCTGTCCCATTTCAAGTTGCCCTTGGATTTCCTTTGAACGAATTCACCAAGCAACGCAGACCATTCAAGACCAGAAGTTCCATTCGGCAAGTTCCCAAAATCTCTCGCGTCTCTTCAGCCTGCAGTCAATCTCTTCCCAAAGGGATGATTCCAACCTCCCTACAATTCTCTGAGGATGGGTTTGATTTATCCATCAACAAAGGGGGGAGAGAGAGGAGGCGCTCAGGCCCTTTCTAAAGCAGAAGGTGCTCGCAGTTGCGTGCGTGATCAAAAGATTGCCATGATGAATGCATGCAGGTATTTAAGACATTGACGAAGATTAATAGTGTTTATGCACTTGGGGTGTGTGTGTGTTCTTCGGAAGGCAGGAAAAAACGGAGGGGGTTAAGGCACTTTGCAAAATAACTTTGCCCAAGGATCATTGATAAAGGGAAAAGACTGGGAAGTTAATTGGATCAGACAAAAAATCAGTTGTCCAATGCACCTTTTGAGTTTATGCGCTGACCACAACTGGTTTACAGCTGTCTTCCTGCTTTGCTACAAGATCTAAGGCAAACGACAACAGGGGTTTTGTGTGCCCGTGAGCACGCACTGAGAGACACTTAGGTTTTGCATGGTTAAAGGCTCCAGACTTTTTTTTTTTGCTGAAAAAAATAACCCACGCATGTGTGTGTGTGTATTCCCGAAAGACTGTTGTCAGCTGCGTGCAACTCCCCATCACCCATCCCTTCCATTGATTTGATTTCATGAAAGACTATTTCCTGGAGTTATATCAAATAGGCTATTACCTGAGACTGACCTTTGTGTTTTTTTATTATAAACCTTTCAAAATTAGCATCGGAGGAGACACAACGCAAGAGGTTTTTAAAGAAAAACAACAGAAATGAATAGGTCTCAGGAGGAGACCATGTGTTGGCAAGGAGCCTTGCTTGGAAAAAGTGGGGAGTGGGTTTTAAAAAAGAGAATGGGATTTGGAGTTTGGGGACACAGGGGCAGACTTTCTGCAGAAGAGATATATGGACCTCAGTCCTAATATGGAATTTTGTAACTATTAAACACAGTATGCCTTTCCTTCTCATCCATCCATCCTTTTTGGATTATGCCAGCCCTAATTTTGTGTGAGAGGTCAGAAAAGAGGAGTGTGGGAGAGCACTCCTTCTCACATCAGGTTTGCACACACGGAAAGTCACCTTACCAAGTGAGAACATTTTAGACTGAAATTTTAGACTGAGGTTTTGATACAGAAACACTTGGAGATGTTGAAGGAATTCTGTAAGTCCCTATCCCAACCGGTCAGTGAACTATTATTAGGCTGTGGATTTTGCACTCACTCATCCAGGTTCTTGGCAATCTCAAACATCTCAGCAGATGCATTTTCATCCTTCTTTTCAGGGAGAAAAGACCTTTAAATAGAGGTGTTTTGTAAGGGATTTGCAAGTCAGTATAGAAGTGGAGTGGATTAGGTTTAAGGGAGGAAAGGACACAAAATAGATGCTGGATTAGAAACAAGCAAGACTGATCCACTGAAACAGTGCTTACAGTCCCATGTATGTTGCTTTGAAGTTCTCAAAATGATGGCAGGTAAAGGTAGGAAATAGCTAATTTAAGAAATATGGTTTTCCCCCTTTACGGTTTGCCCCTGCGTTCTTCCAGGAGGTCTTCTCAAGTCCTCAGACTAGCCCACTGTCATAGGAATTGCTAGTTTCCTCTCTGAACCCCTCCATCACCAGTCCCCTCACTTAGCTTTTGGAGATCAACCAAGCTTGACTAGGAGCTGTCATCTCATTGCAAGAGCAACAACCACCCTTTAATCATCATTCAGGAAAGAGTCTTTAAAGCATATCTGGAACCTGCAACCAAACCCCATCTACTTTAGCCAACATGGCTTATTGTCGGGGATGACGGGAGCCAGCCTGGGCCCTGACGTTTCTTCTTTGCAGCATTTCCTGCCCGGCCTTCATTTCCCCAACCTGGCGTACGTAGAGCCATCTCCCTTGCACGGGGAGAAGAAATTGCACCCACATTTCAGCTCATGAAAGGAAAAGGTTTATTCATGGTTCGAAACTACATAGAACTACCACGAGGAAGACTTCAGTTCAGGGTGTAATCCAGTTAGAAAGTAACACCAAACGGTTTAATACATTAGAATCACTGCCACAATTTTTTTTCATTGAGCCAATCAGCTTCAGAATCACATACTATATAAAAGAGAAAAGGTAAAGAAAGAAAGAAAGAAAGAAAGAAAGAAAGAAGAAAAAAAAAGGGCACCCACCCACCCATTTCCCTAATTATACAGGGTGAAATATACTGAATATCAAGAACTGTCTGCTTTACAATCCATTATTGGTTTCATTTTTTTTTCTCTTTTTCTTTTGCGTGAATTAATATAGTAACAGGATGAAAGAACATTCAAAATGTTTCTCCATATTTACAAACAGTTTGACTGTTTAGTGTTGAACCCAAAGTTTCCACTTCAAAGCTTTCATGTGTCCAGGGTTTTTTTTTTATATATATATAT